TCGTTCAATATCTTTCGATCTATTTGATGTATTTTGTGCAATATCAATCCAATAATTAATTTCATCTTTTGGATGAAATATATTTCCTATTGTTGAACTACCATCACTTTTTTTTCCTACAGCACGTAAAATTTGTTCAAGATCATTTAATGATGTTTGAATTTGTTGATTAGCAGATGAATTAGATTTATTATCACGTAATGCGGGTGTAAATACAGATTTAATCATATAATAAAGAGAATCTAATGGTGAATCGATCATTGATGATAAAAAAATATTTGTATGAACATTTTCTGGTGTTATTACATCAGGTCGAACTTTGAATTGAACAAGACATTGTGAACCTTCAGTTACTTTGATCTTTTTTTTTTTTATTAGAAAAATAGAAAAAAAATACCAATATTACTATTATCATTATATTTGATAAATTACCTCATTAGAAAGATGGACTGAATGTTTATGACCACGTGTTGCTGATAGTAAAGGACAATTAGCATCGTCAAGAAAATTACCCAATGCACGATGATCAGTTAATGGTGCCAGTGAATCATAGTCAAAACCAAAATAATTCGCAATTGTTGTTAGAACATGAGTCTTTCGTATATCTTCCGGCATGTTTATAGTATGAATTCAACAAAGATTGAATTCTAATATTTTTACTTATATTCACAGCTGATAACTTTCATAACAGATAATCGTTTTTGTACAGTAACTTAGTTACGCCTTAATCTCGCTCACAACGAACTTCTAACGACATCTATTGGCTAGTTTCTAAGTACGAAAAAAAAAACAGATTTAAACAATAAATCAAGTATATTTTTAATATAAAAAAATTTTTTTTTGCTTCAATATCTCTGGAATAGTTATATATCTTAGAAAACAATCTATAAGTCTCTGAACATATGACGATTTTTATTGATTGATATAGATGTTTTTTTTAACTGCTTTAGGCTTTAAATGCTCACAATATTTCTATCACTTTATGAAAATCAACATTCAAGATCCCATAAAGCTTCCAAACACAATCATCATAACGATGATGGACAACTCCTTCATTTTTTTCTGGAAGGTAATAGACAAGTTGCGTAATAACAACGCCATTTCTATTTACATCGTTTAGATTTTAGTATTTATAGTTATTCACATTCATAAAAAAATTTCTTTCTTTAATACATGACATATTTAAGTAAAACTATAATGGATGAACCAGACTGGTATGACAAAGATTTAAGTGATTTTGATGATCTACAATCATCTGATGAAGATGCTGTCGTTGAAAAACAATTAATTCATTCTAAACAAAAAACATCTATAATAGAAAATAATTATCATGGAAAAGATTATCCATTTGATTTATGGTATCTAATTGCTATGTATATTGCACCAGAAGATATTGGTAGATTTGCATTAATTTGTCATAAAACAAATCAAATCATAAATTCAGTATCTTTTTGGATATCTCTATTTAGAAAGTAAGATATACATTTATATTCTTTAAAATTTAATTTGTTTTTTGTCTTTTGGTTAGATATAATAAAATTGAAGCAAAAAGACTTACTCGACTACTTGTAAGAGAGCATTTATCAATAGTTCGAACTTATGTGATAAAATCTTTATATCAAACTTATCCATTATTTCAAGAACGTTTTGATAAAACGAATGTCATACAAAAAGAACCACATTTTCTATTATCATCTCGATGTGTTCGTATATGGTATTCAAAACGACCGACACAACGTGATTTATATAATTATTATTTTGAATTTCGTTTTGATAATATTCAACAATCAAAACAACAAGATATACAAATTCAAGCCATATCATCAATATTTCAAGCAAATAATCAATCTATAATTGATAAAGATAGTTATGTTTTACATTTGATTTCTTCAAATTTTGTACTTATTGGTCCATATATGGGAATGATTTTATCTCAAATAACACTTAATGTTAGTAGTGATTATCGATATCATAAATTAAAAATGTGGTTTGATTCATCAAGATCCTGTTCACAAAAATCAAAATATAATAATTCTATAGTAATTATTGATCCAATTTTATGTTTAAGAATATACAAATGGTATAATAGTCCGGCTAATTTAGATTAAAAATAAAAGAAGAGACATTTCTTTTTTATGTTTGTTACCTTCTATGTTATGTATAAATATGTAACATTTGAAGATTGTTTATTTCGGTGTAGAATGTATTTTTTTACGTGTTTTTCATTTTGAAATAAAGAAGCAAAATGAAAAAGTAAATTCAAATGAAAATTTTTCAGTTGTGAATACGATCTAAAAAAAGCGAATAATATTATTTTATTTTTTGCTTTAGTACAATATAGAGAAGTAAAACCTTACTTATATTTTATTTCCAAAAAGTTTAGTCAAAAAGAAGTATGCATAGTTCTTCAGTAGATTAAATGATTTACATATTTTGTTTTACTATATGATCTTACAATCATTTAAGTTTTATTCAACATATTTTTAAAAAATGTCTGTGTCTACACAGGAGTCAGAATTAAAATAGTTTTACTCATCTTTTAAATTCGAACCAAACATCATTGCAAGACAAAAGCTAGGAGTCAAATTTAGAAAAACAAAACACTCCAATTGAAAATATCATTAGAATTACATTCCTAATTTCCAAATAAGAGTAATTCATAGATTGATTTTATCAATAATAAATGAATAGAAAATAGATTGAGCATTTCCATGACAAACTTGACCAGCCTAACACTTTCTTCTGTAGTTACTAAAGATTTTGTCTAACTGTTCTCGATCAGATTGCTATAGATTCCATGACAAGCAATTCATCACACTGATGTCAATGTTCTTGAACTTCTTTCTACAAAATTTATGCTTGAAAATCAGATCAATAGCATGATGTATATTAAAATTTTAATTTTTAATTGAATTATTTTGAATTGTATGAAAATATCTCAGATATATCAGACGATTAGATATTATTAATCCTCTGTTCATTTTTTAGAACTATCAAATTATTCGTTACTATTCACAGGAGGGCTCGTAAGCCAATCAAACTGTTTAGAAAAAACATATGAATTTCAATAAAAATTGAAACAATCATCTATCTTAAACTAAATGATAGAATGACACTATCAATTTTGTACAATCGAAAACATCTTTACTATCAAAATATCTCACTTTTGACATCGATACCATCCGACAAACTCATTTACTTCGACTAGAAATGTGTCAAGTCAATTTCTTACGTTTGTTCCGTCGAAGAATCCATCATTCATTGTTAATCAATGATGTTCAATAATTTTTCAACGAACAAGCAATTCTCGATGCCTGTCATTTATCTATACGAATAATGATTTGGCAAACAATACTATTGTTTGTCATCAGTTGAGAAGAAAAAAGAAACTTCTTCAAATTATTTTCATCTTCGGTCCAATGCTGATAATCATGTGAATTTTAAGTTATTCTTATTGGAATAAGACACAGTTCAACTTTTTCTCACAACCAGCACAGGATGACAAGAATTCTTTTTCGTTTACTAAAGCTGAAATCATTTTGGATACCAGACTGCTGGATATATATACAAATGATTCATGACCGACTTACGGTAGAAGGTCCTATTAAACATGATTAGTATGGTCCATCGAGAGGAGTCAATCTTAGCATTGGAATATGTGAATGTTCTCTTCATCTGCATCTCCACCCTTTCTAAGATTTGAAATTATAAAAGTCCCAAATATACTGTTTCGACCTTATTAAAGAGTGTGTTTTTGGTTTTTATGAATGTAAGAATTCGATTCATCACTGATAATATCGAACCGATCTATTTAAGATCTATATTTTAAATCAATTCACTTGGTGATCGAACGTATGATTTTTACCTCAATTTTAACTCAGGTCGATGTTCTGTTTGTTTATCTTGATAAATTTATTTTCAGAAGATTCAAATCATTCTATCTCGATCAAACAATTCATTTGTCAAAGAATTATTCAAAGAGAAACGTTAAATCAAATATAAGAACCATGCCTGGTCTAAGTCTTCCTCACGTCAGCAATGGAGACTTGTTTCTACAGATCGAATCATTCGATAGGTGATAATCGAGCAGAAGCATAGTAGAGCAGCTGATCTTAATTTGATCACTAATATGAAATGTTTTACACATCATCTACCTCACACAAGTCGAACTGTTCTTATCTCTACCATTAATTACTGCATACGTCTTCCAGTACTCATGTAAATACCAAATTCGTCTCCTGTCTGTATGTTGAAATACGTTTCGAAAGGTTCAAATGAAAGAAAAAAAAAACAAATATTTCATTTTCTTTCTTTTTAAATCCCACTCGATGGTTTGACATCAATTTCGTGCTTGAAAATTGTATTAATATTCTCTTTGAAATCGATCAATACCAATGAGCAAAATTATTTTTATCAATCATCTAGTAATGATTACTATCTACAATAATATTCGTCATATTGAAGAAAGTTGTTTTAATGCACTTTTAAATTATCGAAAATGATTAGAAATTGATTAACTATGCTTGATTTCAGATCATCGAGACCTAGCTCAGATAATGCAATGATATAGGTACTTGTAAGTCAAAAATTACTCGATCTATTTGCTGCGTATTTTTCTTTCAAATAAATAACTGGTATTTGTTATTTAACACCGTTTACGTTCTAACATGATATCACATAACATAGTAGTTTAACAATAGAAAAAATCGGAATGAGAAAGGAATTAAATGAGCAGAGAAATAGAAATGCACATGTAGGCGCATAACTACAAATTTATTCGAGACTTATATGCGTGGCACGTAATTGTTTTTGTCTGCTTTCTTGGCTGACAGTAACATGATGAGGAAGGAAATGAAATAAGTCGTTAACAATAGCTCACAACCAAATGCGTAAGAAAAGAGTAAACTTTGATCATAAGCGATGCTTGATTACTGTTCGGAAACAGAAACAATATCTTTTGGGTTGTTGAGTACAAGATTTAACTGATCACCATTCTAACATCATTGACCAGTGTTACGTGAACCTCGATTAGAATTTGTAGATGTTCGTCGATGATCACTATTGTGACTGAGCCCTTGTCCTGAAGAAACCATACAAAATAAATTTTATAATGAAGTTAAATAAAGCTTTTCTAAGATTATTTTGCTATGCAATATTTTCTCTACGTAATGAAAAAAGAAGCATGAGAATCAACTCACTTGAATCATTATTACCATCGCATTGTCCATTTCGATACGGATATTGAGACGATGCTTGACGAAAAGCAACGACTGTCGGTTCACCTGCTATTAAGATAAACGAAATATAAAAAAGTTTCAAGTTGAAGTGACAAGAATTATCAATCCTTACATCTCGACCTTTGACAGTCGTTATAACCCTTGTCAGTAAGATTTCTGGTTTTGCCATAATCGGGTGAGCGTGGAATTTCAAATTCAAATGGTTTGAAACGCAGCGGAATTGTGATAAGGTTTTTCTTGTTCTTTGATTGTTCTTGTTCCAAATTTTCTTCACACTTAGTTTCTTCACTATTGCTTTCCATTGCGTCATCATTATCTGCCTTTGAATAAATGGGCTCAGGATTCTTCCATACGTTTCGATAGTGACTTTCGCCAGCAGCTTGCGTTTTAAAGTTCGGTAAAATCAATTGATTGACTTTCTTTTCAGCTTCACGTTGTTTTTTGTATTCATCCAATGTCATTTGTTTTTCAGCTTTATCAACTTGTTTGAACTGATCTTTGAAAGGCAGCAGAACGCGTTCGTATCTTTGACTGCATAGGCATATAGATTAGAATTCAAAAGAGACCGAAATAATGAAATATCACTCACTTCATGGTTTGATGTCTTTCCCGGTTTTTTACTAGATGATTGCCATGGTTGAGAACCCCTTTGTCAGTATTTTTCACAATCGGTTTCCTAGCTTTGGAAACCGTCATCCATTCTCCATCCTCCGTCATCACTACTGGATTCGTTTAATCAGACATGTCGACGAGTAGTAATATAAGAATAGGATCCATTGGGAAAAAGCATATTGCTTCGATTGTGTCATTATTAAGCAATCAAATCAATCATTTCACAATCATCTAGTAAGCAAATGACTCATTCCATAAGCAAAGCAAATACTTTGCGAGTTGTACGAAGACATTATAATATTTTCTTCATTGTCAAAATCTTGTTGAAATTCCATTCTAATACAAACCAAAATTATCTAGCTGATGTTTCGTCTCCAAGATTGTACTGATTCTAAAAATACTAATTAATACATCAACTTCATCTATTTAGGTATGTGTATATCCGAATGAAATTACACAGACGTGCAAAATTAGGATGATTAGATAGGAACACAGTTTTTTTGAAAATACTTTTTGTAACAAAGTTGATGAAGTTTGAACACAATTAAAATCTTTTAACAACATTATGGAAAGTTGAAGATATCGATGCCTGTCTTCAATATAATCACAATCATGTGCACACGCTACTGAATATTTTCAGTCATGATTTTTTTGAAAGATATTTGATAAACATAGCTTGGTGACTAGAAATCACAAATTGAGTAAAATTTGTTTTTTTCTTCTGTATTTCAATTCAAAGGATTTTCTTTCCTTGTCTATTACATACACAACTGACATTCTTTGAATCATCTTGTTTTTGTCATGAAAAATATCAGAAAAAGAGAGAAAAAAATCATATATTATTTAATGCTACATATCAAAATGTGCGCATTTGATTTATGTTATATATTTTGTCACCAACTTATTTTACGATCTTCCACGTGTATATTTTTTGTCAAATAGGTAAAAATCATCGTTGACAACCTTTAGTGGTTCTGCTATACCTATTTATGATATTTTTTTATCAAAAGTAACAGAATTGAAAGAGAACGAAACAACGACGATGTAGTTGTTGCATGACGCATAGTCAATAAAATAAAACGATTCATAGATGTTTGAATAGAGAATTCATGTCAACTTCAAAACGTTCAGAAATTGTCACGCATGTTACGAATCGGGAAAGGAGAACTGAGATGCTATTGAATCAGCATCACAACTTGATGTTGCTGCCATCATTGACTGATCTAGTATATAACATAGGCAAGAGAAGTTCTGTTCTAAATATAAACAAGTCATACTCATCTAAAGTAAGAATGTGGTGAGTGTAGGTGTGGATGTGGTTGTGGGTATGAGTGTGGATGTGGGTGTGGGTGTGAGTGTATAGGTGTGTGTGTGTATGGACATGGTCATGGGTAAAGAGATCTACACTCACACTCACACCCACCCACACCCAATACATCTATCCAAACCT